TGTTTCAATAAAGCTAAAATACATTGCCAACCAGGTTGATTCACTTACGGTGTGTCATAGCATTCCCTCATTAGCATCTATTTCAGACTTTCTACTTTCGGCATAAACAACAGATGACCCTTTGTCAATAAAACCCCATTTTTCTACCAAAAGTACTCAAACTTTCTTTCTTTTACTAGCTTCAAGATGGCACTGGCCTATAGGTCATTCTTTAAATTATCTTCAATTAGCTTACAAATATTTGTCATGACTTTATTAGCTGTCATCAGGGTGATTCTCCTAAGAACAGCTAACTTTACTCATTTACTCAATGCATATGTTACTTGATTAGTTCTTCTAGCTGTGTGTTCAAAACAAAATTTAAATTCGACTTGAAACTCGCGTCATCTAGCTTACTTAGTTGTAAGCCTTAGTCAGGTGAAAAAATGACCAACTGTTGCATTGTTTGTCTTTATTATGAATTGTGAACCCAACACATAATGTCATCATGCTCTTAAATAATAGATTACTACTAGGAGTTATTTCTCTTCAAACGTACATCTCCTTTTAGTTATGCATAAATTTTAACTTTTAAATGCTATCAGGTGCCCTTATTATAGAAGCACTATCTTAATAGCGAAATCAGATGCATCTATTTGAACTTTAAAAGGCTTTCCAATGTCAGGGAAAACCAAGATAGGGTCCTTCATCACGACTTCTTTCAAGCCTTTAAAAGTCATTTGACATTCACTTATCCAACACTATTTATGCTTATTTTTCAATAGCTTCACAAGGGTCATGATTCTACGAGAGTACCTTTTCCATAAATCTCCTATAATAATTAGTCAATCTAAAAAATAAACAGAGTTCACTAACATTCTTCAGTGTTGCATGTTCTTTAATAGCCTAAACTTTTTTATGTCTATTCGAATGTGGCTTTGTTCAACAATGTGACATAAAAAATGAATCTGTGTTTAAACAAATACGTATTTCTCTTTTTTAATATACAGTTGATGATTTTGTAGTCTTTAAAACACAAGACATAATTGTTCTTAGTGCCAACCAGGTTGATTCACTTAAGGTGTATCATAGCATTCCCTCATTAGCATCTGTTTCAGACTTTCTACTTTTCACACAAACAACCGAGGACCCTTTGTCAATAAAACCTTATTTTTCTACCAAAAGTACTCAAACTTTCCTTCTTCTACTAGTTTCAAAATGGCATTGGCCTGTGGGTCATTCTTTAAATTATCTTTAATTAGCTGCCATCAGGGTGATTCTCCTAAGAACAACTAACTTTACTCGTTTACTCAATGCATCTGTTACTTGATTGTTTTTTCTAGCTATATGTTCAAAATAAAATTTAAATTCGACTAGAAACTCCTGTCATCTAGCTTGCTTAGTCATAAGCTTCGGTCGGGTGAGAAAATGACTAACTATCGCATTGTTTGTTTTAACTATGAATTGTAAACCTAACAAATAATGTCATCATGTTCTTAAATAATAGATTACTGCTATAAGTTCTTTTTTTAAAAACGTATATCTCCTTTCAATTGTGCATAACTTTTAACTTTTAAATGCTATCGAATGCCCTTATTGTAGAAGCACTACCTTAATAGCGAAATCAGATGCATATATTTGAACTTTAAAAAGCTTTTTCATGTCAGGGAAAGCCAAGATAAAGTCCTTCATCATGACTTCTTTCAAGCCTTTAAAAGCCATTTGACATTAATTTATCCAACACTATTTATGTTTATTTTTCAATAGCTTCACAAAGGTCGTGATTCTACGATAGTACCCTTCCATAAATCTCCTATAATAGTTGGTCAATCTAAAAAATAAATGAAGTTCACTAACATTTTTTAGTGTTGCCTATTCTTTAATAACCTTAACTTTTTTTATGTCCATTCGAATGTGGCTTTGTTCAACAATGTGACCTAAAAGCGAATCTATGTTTAAACAAATATGTATTTCTCCCTTTTAACATACAACTGATGGTCTTGTGGTCTTTGAAGTACAAGACATAATTGTTCTTAGTGCTTTTCTAAGGTAAAATTATAGACCACTATATCATCTAAATAGATGACTATAAACTTGTCAAGATAGTTATGAAACACCTGATTCTTCAAGGTACAAAACGTGGCCAGGCATTAGTCAATCTAAAAGGTAAAACAAGAAATTCAAATGCACCTACCACGTTACACAAATGGTTTTTGGCTCATCCCTTTCAGCAATTTTGATCTAATGATAGCCATATCTCAAGTCCAATTTAGAGAAGCACTTGGCCTGGCTTAGTTGATCAAACAAATCCATAATAAAAGAAATAAGGATATTTATTTGTCACAGTAACTTTGTTCAAGGCCTTATAGTCTACATATAACTGTAAACTCCTATCATGCTTTTTTTAAAATAGCACGGGTGCCTCAAATAGTACTTTTGATAGTTTAATGAATCTGACTTATAAGAGCTCATCTAATTATTTTCTCATTCAGCTAGCTTTGGTAGAGCCATGCGATATGGGCCTTTAGTTGGCAGCTTAACTCCTGGAGAAGCTCAATCTCATGGTTCACCAATTTTTTAGGAGTTAAGACCTTAGGCAATTACTCTAGTATTACATTCTCAAACTTTTTCAATATTTTTTGTAACCCATCGGGTACTAATTTCAACTCAATCTTATTTTTATAAAGCAGCATAGCCATATAGGAGGGCTCTCATCTCTTTGCCTCTTTCTTGAATTGTAATGCTAAATCATTTTATTCTTGCTCTTAGGAAGGATCATGGTCGGCATAACACATGAGTGTTCCTCAAGAACAATAGAAAATTAGTAACAAGGATTGGGATTGCCTAAGCCAACATCATAAATTTTAATCCTATAATAACAGCAAAGTCATTCATGGGGAAAACCATAAAGTTTACATTTTCTTTCCATGGCCCTAACTTGGTCATCACACTCTTGGAGCTTTCACTGATCACAAAGGTTGGCGAGTTAACTGCTTTCATTTGCCTACAGTCTTTATTAACCTTGAAATCACACTTTTTTCTTCATTTGGTATGATAAAGGTATCAGTTGCACCCATATCTACCATAACCTTTATGGTTTTACCTTTAAGTACTAGGTCCACTTATATCATACGTCTCTTAGGTTCTTTGTTTATCATGTTTAGTTGGGTCTAAGAGTACTAAAGAATCATATTGAGCCCATCTTTATTGGCTCTTTTTCAACTTTTTCGACTGTTTCAAGCGTCTTGGAAAACTTTTGAGAAAAGGCTCTTAGGGCATTAAGGGCATCTCTATGTAGGCATTTGACCATTTGATACGACCACTGGCATAAGAAACAAGCTAGTAGTTGGTTCAGCTTAAAATTTGATGCATTATTTACCTTAAGTTGGGTATTATCTCAACCAATAGGCCTTCTATCTGATCCTCCACTGAAGGGTAGGCCTACTCTGGTCATCTTTTTCTCATTCTTAAAGTTGAAGTTACTGCCACCTAATGAAAAGTTCTTTCATTTTAAGGGGCCTTTATTATAATCATTAAAACATTCGACAGTAACCATGGCCATGGCCGTAGCCACATCTTGCACCTTTTGTCTTTACAATTTCGTTCTAGCCTATGGTTTGAGGCCTTCAAGAAAATAAAACATCTTGTCTTTTTTAGACATGTCTCTAATATCCAATATCAGGGTAGAAAAACCCATTGCAAACTCTCACACTTTTTTTGTTTGAACTAATTTTTGAAGCTTTCTTCAGGCCATATACTCCACATTCTCAAAAAAGAATTAATTTTTCAACGATTGCTTTAGATCTGCCCAAGTTTTAATAGAGCATTCATCATTTATAAATTTTGAATATCACCACAGCTTGGCATCCCTAATAAGGTGCATTGAAGCCATTGCAATCTTATCTTCTTCTAATTCTATGTGCACAACTCAAAAGTATTATTTTATATCAAAGAGAAAGTTCTCAAGCTCTTTGGCATCTCTTGCCCCCTTATAATGTCTAGGCTCTAGTGCTTTGACCATTTTTCTTTTCTCCTTCAAGCTAAAAATTGATCTGGTCATAGCCATTTATAGCACACTCACTTTGGCACTGAGCTCCTCAAACTCTCTTTGGAAGACACTCAAGACATCTTTGGTTTCCTCACCCAAGCTATGTAGAGTATCTGATAACTTTCGTCAGGATGTCTTGATCTTTTTCAGTCGATCATGAATTACCACATGAGTTTTTAAGGCAGCCACAAGTTCATCGATTCTCTATTAGTCATTAAATCCACCACTCATAACCATTTTATCAATTCTCTAGCACTTATCAACCGTGTTCTAATACCACGTGTCTCGGGTTAAGCTTTCTCTTAATGAAGTAATAGACTGTGTGACACTTGGATGGACGCTTTTACATAATTTAGCCAAGGATAGTTCGATATCTAAATAGGTAACTAAAAAGCCATAAGTTAATCTCAAAAATATACAATGATATACCAAGGTATAATGGAAGCACACTAAGGCAACCCTCAACATTCCCATAAGGAAAAAAAATGTTTTATTAATAACAAAAATAGTACAATAAGTACAAAAAAAGCATCGAGTTTTTCTATCATTGTCAGGGCTAGAGGGGTAATCTTAAATAGGTAGTCTAGCATATACCTTAACCAATAAGACAACCCAACAATACGTCAATTGCTCACCCTTTATAAAGAACTTAAGAGATTTTATAACTATATTCCCAAGAACCATTATAATGTTTGAAATTGTGATACTTTTTCCTAGCATTTGAGATCTATCCTCTCCCTTGACACCTCTACCTAAATGGCTCATAATATCTTATACTTGATCATAACCCTATACAAGATTGACTCATGACACTCACCCTACGTTTCCTTCGGCCATAAATCTATTTAGCCGGATTCAGCACTGCTACACTCATTCTGTTCGGAATTAGATTGAAAGTGGGCTCATGCTCATATTGAAATGGGCTCCCAACAGCCCAAAAACCGATATTGGGAAGACTCATTTCCCATCTCATCACTCTGTTATAGCCTCCAGCGACTTTATAGTTAATTCGTTCAACCAACTCTAAATGGGTTGGAGAACCCTAGACAACGCACGAGGCCACCCTTCATAAATGCATATTTCCCCATTTCACTCAAACTTCACTCTCCTCCTTTCACTCCAAAGATGGAGCTCTCTACGAGACTCACCCAACCCATTTCCAGTTCCCCTCCCATTAGATTCTTGACCCCAACTCCCTCTCTCCCTTCCCTTCTCCGCCGTCCTCCGCCGCTGTCTCGCTCTACCCCCCGCGGCCTCCGTTCTCGTACGATATCCAAGCTCTCTCTCTCTTATTCATTTTTTTTTATCGCGTTTGATTTTTATTATATTCATGTTGTGCTTTTTGGGATTTTTTAAAATTATTCTTTTCTTTAATATTACTAGAAACTGGAAAGTAGCACTTCATAATTAAATATATCTGCTTTTGCTTTGTAGGGGTTTTGTATTTTAATAAACCGTTGCCTAAAGCAACAACCTCTGAAGAAGCCTCCTCGACCGGTGCCAATCGATTTTTCGGGGAGGACATCGACGGCGTGACAACATTTGGGGAAGTTCCGGCGGTTGAGAAGAATGTATACAATGAAAAGCTGCCATCGGAAGAATCTAAGGAAGAGTCAGCTGCCGATGAGGGTTCGCTGAAGTTTGACTTTCTGGAGCAATTTAATATAAAGGTTTACTCTTTGCTTAAAGATGCATCATAGTGGTTATACTTGTGATGGAAAGGCTAATTTTTTATTAATGTGGAAAAAACAAAACTAAACAGAACAAAGGTTGGTCACTTTGGTTTCGCTGAGATGCACTTTTTAGAAACAGAAAATTCATTTTCTGTTTGATTATATATATATATATATATATATATATATATATATAATTAAAAGGCGTAGCCTCTTTAACATATAAAATTTGTTGTTCAAAACGGGCCAGATCGAATAAGCAAGTTGTTGGAAGGAAATATTTATGAGTTTATCTATTATTTTAACTTGTCATTAGGAAGATGCTTTTATGGCATTAGAATGGATTAAGAAAAAGAAACATCATAGTTTCTACCTGTTTATTTATGTTACTAACTGAGAAATGAACTTTTGTTGGCCTTTTAATGTTCATTTCTGCTATCAAATTGGGTTGCAATGATGAGGTTTTGGAACAATTGAAAGGCATTTGTTGAATGCTTGATGAAACTTCGACCATTGTGTCGATCCTGAGCGGTTACCTGAGCAACATGATTTGCTAATACCCCTTCTTATCCTATGTTTTATCTGAGGTAAATTGTCAAGTTTTTGTACACTGAATCAGTTTGATGTTTCCATGCACTAAATTTTTGCTGGTCTTGTCAAATGTCTTACCATCATAACCGTTAAAATTTGGTCAAGGTTAAACTTTTTATGAGACAGTAACAACCATGTTTATGTGAATTTTCCTTTGCTTTTTCCCTTAGCAAGAAAGTCCAAACTCTCTATCTTTTTCATTGTCCCCCTAACTTCTCTGTTTTCCTTTTGCTTTGCAAGGTTTATCGCTTGATATTAACTGAATTTATAGTTGCACTGCTCTTTTCCCCTTATGTTCTTTTGTGTTTTCATCTTAGGCCTTTGAAGCTATTTCATACTAATATCACATAGCCACATTTTAGATGTTTCCTCTTTTTTTATCAGTACTTGTTACTTTTGTCCCAAAGCCTTGATACTAAGGTTAGAACCTCCCTTTTAATTCTTTTCCTTGTTTACATTTTGCTCATTATTGGTGTTAAATTACTTCTTCAATGAATTTGCAAATTGGTTGCTGTGATGATTAGTAAAATTTATGAAAATTTGATGAAGCATTGACTACCATGTCAATCTGTGCGGTTACCTGAACAACACAATTTGTTCAAATTCAAATTCTTCCCCTGGGCAAGTTTTTAGGTTTTTCATTTTAATTCCTATTTATCAAAATTTTACTTCTCTTTGGGTGCAAATCTGTTTCTGAATGATCACTAAAATTTGTTTAAAATCGCTGTGAATTCTTGGTGAGATGTCAACAACCATGTTGAAGTGGGTTTTTCTGTCTGTCGACCTTCTTTATTTTTGCAACTCTTACTGTAGAGTTCGTCTGTTGCTTGTCTCCCTCTCTGACGTTATTTCTATGATTGGTGTAAGAAGAGAATGACTTGAAAGTTGAAACACAGTGCTGCTCACATACAATTTTCATTTGTACTTTGAGAGTTTATTTTTATAGTTTTGCTTCAGTTTTAGAAATTTTTTTGGTTGTCATGGTTTGAGATTCTGATGACTTGATAACTGAATGCTTTCAGCTTGACTCTGAAGATGCATATTCAGTAATAGCATATGGAAGTGGTGCCTTGGTTGCATTGTGGCTAACTTCAGCTGTTGTCGGTGCTATTGATTCAATTCCATTGGTGCGTTTAAATGTAAATTCTGAGTTTCCTTGGTCCATAAAATATTTATATTCATTTTGATTTATGATTTTTGTTGTAACATTCAGTTTCCTAAGATGATGGAAGTTGTGGGTCTTGGCTACGCATTCTGGTTCAGCTCCCGTTATCTGTTATTCAAGGTAGCTGCTTGAGTGACTGAGATTCTAAATAAACCCTTTGTGACATAAAGTGAAATATTGATTCTTTTTACTTGCATTTGGCAGAAAAACAGGGAGGAGTTGGCCACTAAAATCGAAGAGCTTAAGCAGCAGATCTTTGGCTCGGACAATGAGTGATAGAATCGATTTGACACAGTGAGTTTTGTCTGTTACATAAAGGATGTAATGCAGAATTGGATATTTTCTCTAGTTAATATTTAGGCACGTAGTGTACAAATATGTCAATTACCAGACTAGTCAAAGCATCAAGATAAAAGATTTATTGGTTTCTTCTTTTTCTATGCACCCTGCAATTATGCATTTACTTTGTTCAATGGTTTCCAATCATCTTGTATAAATCTGTTGGTGTATAGATAAGAGCCAAGCTTTATGGAGAAATCAGGAAACGCCATAGATTGTAATAGATCAAGCACGAGTTTGTATGATGAATACGTTTCAACTTTTAGTTAAAGTTTCTAGTGTGTCATGAGACCCTTGATCATGATGGTGGCTAAGCCTGTTAACAGGTATGATTTGGCCGATTCTTTGAAGAATTAAAGGGTGTCTGGTTTTATTTTTAAGGGGAGGGGGGAGGAATTACATTTAGGTGTATTGATGGTAAAGAAATCAACGATCGGTGTTTCTTTTGGTGGGGGGTCACCGCACAATTAATAATATGCCTAAACAATGGCCCAAAAAATGTAACATTCCTAAACCTACCCTAACCTGAAAGTCAGAAATCAACCTAGAGGTGGGCCCAACCTTAAAATCAGGCCCACTTATCAGTCTCTTGCCCTTTTTATTTTTTTTTAATTGGAAAGGGACATATATCTCTTTGAATGGGACACAAATTTCAAACAAAACCAAACTAAGACCATATGTCCCACAAAATCAACTGCCTCCACTAATATATGATTATCAATTGACAAAAAATAATTAACAATCCTAACCAAGGGAAGGGGACCAAATACATTGTAAAACAAAGAAATGATGGTGCTTGAAAGTTTTATTGGGTCCAAAAAGTTGTCAGCCAATGATTTTAGATGCGCAAATGGTGCCATCGTTGTCCTAAATATACTCGATGACTGATGAGCAAAGCGAGTAGTTGGTGCGCCACGATCATTGTCCCCCCCAATCTATAGGCGTATTTGGACAGGTTCATATGCCGACCAAAGCTTAGGACTAAGGAAACTGTAGGAAGAACCCCAGCTCAACCTGACTGACTCTGTCCAAAAACCAAGAACCTTCTTAGCTCTTGCCTCTTTTCCTTTTGGTGTCGTATTGGATAAGATTTTTTCTGACTAATGCTATGCAATAATTCAGTGATCACACATTCAATAACTAAGGAATTTGAGAGACCGTTTGACATTTGGCATTTTTTTTTTCTATTTGATGGTGAAAATAGCATCCAAACCAAAGTAAATTTTAGGTATTTTCAATGAAAATCGTCTAAAGATTTTTTATCTAGATTCAAGTTATCAAGACAAGATATCAAATGGAAACTGAAGATAACACTTCCACTTATTAAATTGACAAAATAATTAAACCTACAATTATTCGCCGCGTGAAATTTTTGTATATTCCAAAAATTTTGACCTTTTTAATATATTTTAAATGGTACGTGTTATTTTATTATTTTTGTTTGTAAAATATAAAAATTTTACTGTTAATTTTTTTAAGTTTTAATGTAAACAAATGAAGATTCAGTTCTAAAGTCTCATTCACTTGATAATCATGCTTGCTAATTAGTGACAGAAAAGGGAGGGAAAACTTCGTTGCTTTTTTCAAAAGCTCGAATCAGGAAAATGAAAAATGTCCACTCACTAGCAAAGACAAAAGACTTTCAACCCCATATATTATAGGAATCAATAGCGTAAATGAATCTGCATATCTCACCAATGCCTTTTAGTGACAAAAAATTTGTTTTTTTTAAATAAAATTTCGGATTTAAATTAAATAGATTTATGAGAATTTATCTTTTTTACAAAATTTGATCCGATTTAATTTTGAATTAATTGAGATTCAAAATGATTATTAGATATTAAAAAAACTCAGATAAAAAAAAATCTGCATATCTCGCTTAATCAATTGCTAAATAAACCAAAACTGAAAAGGGGAATCTGTCAATCAGCGACGCCGGGTCTTACAATTTTGGACAATGGCCGAAAGGCTTTTTAACTTCTTTTCTTGCAATGACCTCTCTACTAGTCTTAAATGCAACCCATCAGATGTACATGGAAGATTCAAGTCGACATCAATTGATTAAAGATCTTTATGTTTGTTTGCTAAAAGCGAATAGTTCCCTTCGGTCACGCTCTCTGCCGCGTAGTGATTAAATGAGTTGGACACTAGCCACTTCGCCAGTAGCAATCACCGTTGTTAATTTCCGAAAAAAACGTCCTCCATATGGTAAGCAAAAGTAGCTGCCTTTTAAACCTTATTTTCTTGCCTTCTATTCTTCATAATTTCAACCACCATTGAATCCCAGGTCAACAATTTCATGTACATAATTGGGAATATTTGAGCCCAATTACAAATAAAAATACAGTAACCGCACAGAAAAGTGCAGTGAAACCCTCTCATCGGGCTCTCAGATCAACATTTAGAAAATAGAAAACCAGAAACAAAAGCCAAGCACAAAACACCAAACGAAAAAACAATTAAGTTAGCTGCAAATTTAGTAAGAGCAAATATTATTTGTTGATATCGCTATTAAAATAAGAATCTAGACATAATATATTCTCTTATAATCAGAAGCAAAGACAAACTCTGCCTCCAGATTCGATGGATAACTTTATTTTCCCTTCTCATAACAACTACGTAACTTAGAACATAGAATTCCTAAGATTGGTTTTCATCATCATCTTTTTCGTCGCTAATACTTCAAAAGTCCTTTAGCAACTTCCTAACCTGTTCCAACGTAACAAAAAGCACAACCGTGAAGGGTCCCTGTCTCGAGATCGTCGGTATAAACCCTTTATACAACGCCATGGGCCCTTCCGCCTTCACCGTCTTGATAGCACAATCCAAAGCACCAGCATATGGCGGCTTTTGCCCTGGCTCTACCTTCATGTTCATAACCCTTGTCTTGATCACATCAACAGGATTCGACGCCACCGCCGCAACAAACCCCGCCGAAAAGCTTGCTGCCACGTGTGTCCCAAGCCCATCTTTCATCAACCCGTTTTCCAAAATCATTTCTTTGATCTGATCGTACGAAGCCAGCTGCGAAGCCGTCACCAACATGGCACGGTTCACCGTAAGCGATGAGCCGCGCCACAAGGAGGTAACGCCTTCTTGTTTCGTCATGCGAGTGATAGCGTCGACAACGCTGGTGTAATTACGGCGTTGAGATAACGGGAGGCGTCCGTCAGCTTGCATGCGAACCATCGCCACGTCGGCTGGGTTCCCGACAGCTGCGCCGATCCCCCGGCGATTAATCCAGCGGCGATTTTGCGCGAGAGAGGCATGGTTTTCGTATCCTTGTCGGTCCATTTCTGTTTCAGAATGTCGTAGAGTCCCATACGGGTAGTGGAATAGAGGGTCTGGCGGAGGACAGTGGCAGAGACGCCAGAGAAAAGAGCGGCCACGCCTTCGGTTTGGAAGATCCGGATTCCGGTGGCTACTGGTCCAACACGCGCTGCAGCGGGTGGTGGCGGAGGTGGCATGTGGATAGCAGATGTGGTGGTGGTGGTGGTTGTGTGAAAGGCTAAAGCAGGTCGGAGGGTTTGAACAGCCGGATTCGGGACATGGGTTTCACCCTGGAGTTGCATTCGGACTTTGATTAAATCAAGTGGGTGGGTAGAACATCCAGCCACAATTGATGCTATGCCTCCTTCAACAAAACCTTTAACTCCCATTTTAATTCTCCAAAAAAAAAAATCTAAACCTTTTGATGTTTAAGAACTTGATTCTTTAACAAATTCTGCTTGAAAAATCAACAAGCCAATAACCTTAGTTAAAAGCCAAAAGAATGAAGCAAAAAGAAAAAAAAAAAAAAGGAATTATGATCCAAAAATGAAGAGAAACAAAAATAAACTATTGAGACCAGTTGGAATTTGGGTTCATCTCACTGGAAACCAGGAGATGGGAATGAAGACCAAAAGCTATTGAAGAATAGTGAGGAACGCTAGGCCTCTGAGACATATGCTGGGAGAAAAAACCTTTAATAAAATAGTTAAGCAAATGAATGGATGGTTTATTTGGGAGCTGGGGATGAGTATTTATAGCTGCACGGAGGGTGATCGCGTCAGGGTTCAGCGAAGGCTGGTGGCAAACGGCAGTTACGCGCGATAATTGGAATGGGAACATTAAAAAATTGCGTTCGGCTAGACTCTTCTTTGGGCTGTATCTACGTTTACGCGTTTCTGCCTGTGGTGGGGTCCTCGTTTGGGTGGCTTCAATTCTTCACTTCTCAATTCGTCAAATTATGTAACGTTTAAGGCTCGAGCCTGCCACGAGTCTATCAGTTGGAGAGCGGGTCCAAAGACAATTTGATAAAACTTAATTAAATTCAAGTGTAAGACCTTTTTATATTCATGAAAAAAAAAAATTTGCACGACTTCGCAATTTTCATTTTTTTGTTTTGGTTGGGTAATGACTCAATGGCGACTCTAGTTTCTATGATTTGACGGTTTTGCCCCACTTTCTGTACATGCGACCTTTTAGCTCTTTCATTTCATATTTCTTTCTTGCTAATTTCAAATGATTTCATGTGCAGATACGTAATGCTAGTGCATGGTCATGACCATTTAAGAAAAAAACAATTAAAGCATCATAATTTTGTTATTGTGAAAGAAAAATAACTGTTGATATATTTGGTTATTTACAATAAAATTATATCTTCTTATTAAATATGATAATTAACAATTAATATGTTGATTTCTAGTATATTGCAGTAAATTTATAAAAAACCTTAGTAGAAGAACCCTCTACTACTCTTCATATAATGTATAATTTGTTTCATTTATTTGGATTGCACCATATTCGAAAAGTTCTTCTAATTTTGAATTGGAGAAGAAAGGGTTTAGTGGACTACTGAATTTTAGGATTGTCAATTATTTTAATTTTTTGTCATCTCAAATTGTTTGGATGGTATAGGTTTGTCAAAGTTTAAGAATAAAATTTTGATTTCAATGTGTTTAATATTAAAATTAATTTTTTATAATTGTTAATATTAAAAATTAAAAAATAATTTTAAAATATATAAAATAAGAGTTTTAAATATTAAAAAAAATTATAATTTTGAGATATCTAAAAAAACAAAAAAGGGACATAGAGAGTACAAAATTAAAAAATAAATAATTGTAATTATGACAATACTTGTCTTTAATAGAACAATTTATATTTATATTTAAATATATATTTTTATAATTAATTTTAATCTCATCATTATAATAATTAATCTATCTTCTATAACACATTATTTCATAGTCATCATTAATTTTAATCTTGTCAAATCAATTTTATAGTACATATCCTTAGTTAATTGATTATTTAGCAACAACCAAAGAATTACGTATGGAAACTTGCAAGCTCTAATGTCAAAAAAATGTGGCCGAAAAAATGTCAAATAAAATTAATTGGGCTTAAAAATTAGTACTTCTTGATTCACAGATTAGCTAAAACATTTATTGCATTTTTTTTTTCTTTGAAAGGCACATTGATTGCCTTTCAGTTGGGCTTAATTACCAACTTGTACCGAGTCATTTCCCACTTAACTCGGAAAGTTCGTTTTGGGGCTTTTCTGGTCCTATAAACGACATCCACGTGTACGTATGTAATGAGACGTTGAAGGGCGGGCTTGACTGGCCTGGTCACTTGGTCAGCGTAGGTGGTATGTGGGGCAGGCTTTTGAGTTTTAAGCCGCTGACGGCTGACTCGTGGCCGTTCAGGTGGCTCTGTAAGTGGACAAAAACTTTACGTCGCCTGAGAGATTCGAACTCTCGCGGGAAAATCCCATGTACTTAGCAGGCACACGCCTTAACCACTCGGCCAAAGCGACAATCACGTGTTGCTTTAAAATTAAAGTTTTAAATTAACCTTTTTCTAACCAACAAAAATTCAGGTGAATTTGAGAAAATTAAAAGAAAAAAGTGGTATATGATCAGATAATGAGAAAGTACATATTCTTTATCATTTTTGTAATGCATCTTGCTGAATACAAGTTTTATTCGATTCTTTCCATTTGAAGTTTTTTTTATTAATTTATTTGCATAATTGCACGTATTTTCCTTTGAAATCTTACAAAAGTTGTGCTTTTTCTTTTCTTTGATTAAAACATCTTGCTTGACCCAATATACAATACTATAATTGCACGTTGAAAGTAAAAAAAAGTAAAGAAATCCTTTTCGCTTGGTCTCCAGTCTCTTATTCTAGAAATCCCGACCGAAATTACAAAAAGGCCATTCGTTTTGCCAACCATTAGTCTGCCAGCATATCCAAAACTAGGCATTTTGATTGTGGAATAAATTTTTTTTTTGTTTGGCTGATGAGACGTATGCTTGCCGATGCATTTTCATGCTGATAATCCTCTGCCTTGAGTCGACAAAGGAAAAAATGAACATTCTCAATGAGTGGAGTACAATTGCAGAGGCTTAAGAATGAAATTCTTTCCTTCAAAAGGTAGTGGTGCGCTTTTGTAGTCGCTCCTCGGCCAAGGAACATTAGCCAAGATGGTTGGAGGTAGTGGTGGTTATTTATCTTGGATTGGCCCATTTTAGGAGGTAGTTAATACCACTGAAAAAGAGCTAGACAGGAGGAGTGGTCCACGATAAAGTACCAATTCTATTTTTTTAAATATATTTATTCGATTTAAGAGAATACTAAAAACATAATTTTTTTAACTCAACTTTTAAATGTTAATATTGTCAATATGCCAACTAGTTCAAATCTAGTAGACAGTAATTATCTCCACTTAAAATTACATAATTAGCATCTTTAGTATTATAAATAAGAGTATAGTTGATTGAATTTGAACTAATATAATATTAAAATTGAACTCAACTCAAATTTTAATATTCAAAATTCAGTTCGAATTTAATTAAATTTTATTTTTTAATTTAAATTCAATTCAAAATAAATTACTCGAATTCATTTAACTAGATTCGATTAATATATAAAAATAAATTTAATTTTTATATTTGATAAAAAATTAATTATTTATACTCGAATTCGATATATTTTATTAATTAAAATATATTAAAATATAAAAATTTAATTAAACTTATAAATTACTTAAATCAAATATAAAAATACTCAAATTTGATTCGATAAATAAATTAAAATATTAAATATTAAATTTAATTTAATAATAATTTAATCAAATTTAAATTTTATTTAAATAAAATCTAAATAAATTATAAATATTAATATATTTTTCCACTGCTATCTAACAGCCAACCACCACCACCACCACCACCAAATCTGTTTTGTTTGAATTATCAATTATTGGTTTTTTTTTTCTTTATTTAATTTATGTGACCCAGTGCATTGCATTTTGCACCGTCGGCTGGGAAGTGCACACGATATAAGGGAATCTGTGCACAGGCAGCTCACTATCATTACATTTGCCAAATGGGTCTTCCATTTATGTCATAAACAGCAATAACAAAAGTTGTCTAATACAGTAAAATAGAGTATGGGATTGGGACTGTGGCTGGAGATTGGCCCTACTCGCATAAACACTCTCCTTTTCGCCAGAGGAACAATGGGGACTCTGATGAAGCGAGTGTCAGAATGGACAATTGGCCCTACTCACTTAAAATTAAAATCACGCAATTTTGTTTGGAAAGGAAATTTTATTACTTTCTTATTAAACGCTTTTTTTTTTTACATTTTCATTTTATAAATGAAATAAATAAAATAAGTAGTTAAAATAGTATTATTTTATTTTTTAAAATATGATATAAATAAATTTATTTGAATTAATTTAAAAATAAATATATTGAATAAAGCTTATGAATCTTTTATAATAAAATTTTTTTTATTAAATTTAATATAAATAAATTTATTTAAATCGATCTTAACGAAAATATATAATTAATGAACTCTGCTAAAAAACAAAGTTTGGAATTGATTTTATAAAAATACGAAATTTCTTACCAGAAACAATTTCGTAATTTACTGCTTCAAGCCTGAGGCCATAGAGAAGCTAAAAACTATAGACGGCAAAATCCGTTGTGACACCGTGGAAAAAAGTTTTGACCTCCGTAAAAATTAATAATAGCAAACGATGAAATTTCCTTTGTCTCTCTCAGATCGGCCCGGATGCTCAAATCTTCTCCTCATCCTAACCACCACATAAATTTTCCTATTTTGCCCCTCCAAATACCACCACCGTCATCGCCGCCGCCGTCGTCGTCGCAGAAATATATGTGTAACAAAGTCACCATTATCCTAGGTTTACTCTGTTCAGGACTGATCCTCGGCTTCGGCTAAATAAAGTGCAATAGAATAAAATTTCGAACAAAGAATGCTGGTTCCTGGATTTTTAGGGTTCAACGGCGTCGCTCTGGTGTTGTTGCTGGTTGTTTTTCTGGTAATCCGGCATAAGTTGTGGAATGCGGCGGCGAGGAAAGAGGAGGTTACGAGGTCGCTTGAAATGGTCTCACATGAAGCCGCCATGGTGGAAGCTCAAGCCGCCGTTGAGTACGGTTACTATCCTAAGTATTAGTGTGCTGTCTGCTTTGCCCTTAACACTACCCGCTGTTCTAAGTGCAAATCTGTTCGTTACTGGTTCGTTACTGTATTTCCCTTTTATAGTTCAATTTAAGTTTGACCTAATTTGTGCGAATGGAAATTTAGTTTTACAGTTTAGAGTAATTGCAGCTGTTGAGGGTGTATTGAATGATAAAGATGAAATTTTTATTGCGGCTTTGGAGGGGAATGAGGGATAAATATTTGAGGGGAAGAGGTTAAAGCCTTGAATTCTGATGGAAAATGATTCGGATTTTTCCATTTTAGTGTTGTTGTAATAAACATTGTACTCAAGAAGCTCTTAATGGTTAAGGTTTGAAGTTTTGATCTTAGGCCTCTCAAGAAGCTATTTATGATTAAGGTTGTATGTTTGTTTGCTTATAAGATTGATTATGCCATTAATTAAAAATTAGGAAATAGGTTGAGCTGAATCACTAACATTTTCCCAGGGGATGGTCTTTATAGTTTTATTGGATTCATTACATGAATACATTGTTATTGTTGTGGTG